AGAAGCATCGTCCGAATCGCAGGGTCCCGTGTCTTCGTCCTATAGGCCTCTACATGATACCATGCGGGATCGCATAGGCTAATTGCGTATCTTAAACAGTGAGATGTGATTGGGCGCGCCTCGAAACAAGGCGCCCAATCAGCTTGGACATACCAAATTATAAAACAAAATTCCATTTCCTGTTTTTGTCGCTATGAAGACATCCTTCCCACACAAAACTGCATCAATTGCCTGTGCCTGATGAGGTTTGAGGACACCAACACCGAAAACTTTCGTAATTTTATCATCACAAATATCACGATTCATGGGCGCCGCCATTTTGTTTAAGATGAAACACCAAAGAGGAATTTGTAACGCGCAAACTGATTGGACAATGATTAGCCGCAACTGACTACTGGGGGCGCTGTTAGAATACGCATATTTGATGGTCGTTCTGCCAAGATCTGTTTTAGAGGCTTGGACGAATAAACTTAGACCTTGGCTAACGAAGATGTTCTGGAAGTGAATGCACTGGTTCTTTGTTCATTAGAATATTATTTTTAACTGATTTGTACTCACCGTTAGTGCCCTTGCTCATACAATCAATTCCAAGCCTAGGGTTGTTTTCCTTCAACTGTCTAGATTTCACATCTGCTAGAGTTTTGATTGGGTGTAAACCGCTGTTTTCGGCAAGCGACATTGGTACGCTCTCTAATGCATCAGAAAATGCTCTCATTGCATACTGCTCAATGGTAGAAATCTACAAAATAAAATAAAACTTAAGTGAGCAGCAAGTAAAAATCACAAGTACAAATATTACCAGCTAGAAGCAAAGACATTTTCGTTGCATCTTAATTTTACAAACGCAACCTTCAATTCAAGATGCACTTTTAATAGAACAAATATTATTTCTGATCAAAGTGAATATTCACTGAAAATAGTAAGTTATGACGTTGTGAAAATGATTTCTGTATCAAAATGTCTAAACTTTACCTTATCTGCTTCTTCACTGACAGCAAGGGCACAAGCTATTTCAGCTGCTCCTCCACCATATACAATACGGTTATCACGAACTAAATTACGAATTACGCAAAGAGCATCGTGTAAACTGCGCTTAGCTTCTTCAATTATCTGCAAAGAAGTACAAATAATTTAGCTATGAGAACAGTTATCAAGTTCAGTTGACAATATATTATTGTCCACTTCCCACTGAAGTGCTACTGTGAATTGTACAATTTTTTGGGGGGAAAATTACTTATTTTCATACAGACTTATTCAGATTCATCCAAAACATTTTTTCCCCCACCAATCAACCACAAACTCTAAGAATTTGTTTGTTTTTGTTTTTGTTTGTGCTTTGATGGCAATATTGCCCAAAATGATGCACATTAATAACCTGCGTGATAGCAGTTGAGAAATTATTTGAAAACCATACCCCATGTATTATTTTTAGATTTTGTTAACTAATTTGTTTGTCAAAATCTAACAGACTCGTGAATAATTTTAGACCAAAACACTGTTCCATTACGAATTTTAAGTAATACAACACAAAAGATTTCACTAGTTTCTTACCATCTTATTTCCTCCTCTGATGAATATAGTAACAGCTCTTGAGTTCTGGCAATCTTCTATCACCAACATCTTGTCTTTCGTTGTACCAAATGACAATTCTCTAACGATGCCCGCCTTGCCAAGTTTTTCAGTTGACAACTCTTCAAATCTGGGAACAATACGTCCACCAGTGGCAATTGCTATTAACTGTAATCAATAGACAATTCTAATGAACAAACTAAGGCGATTACGACAATTGAAATTTGACCCAAAGTAATAAGATGTAATAAATTTCTGGTTGGCCAACTAATGGTAAATATACTGACCTCAATTTCCGGTCCACCAACCCAT